TTGAATATTATATATGTAAGACAGACTCCATTCCATGTGGTCTTTGAGAGAGAGAGAGAGACTCAATTCCATGTGGTCTTTGAGAGAGAAAGAGAGACTCAATTCCATGGGGTCTTAGAGAGAGAAAGAGAGACTCAATTCCATGTGGTCTTTGAGAGAGAAAGAGAGAGACTCAATTCCATGTGGGCTTTGAGAGAGAAAGAGAGAGACTCAATTCCATGTGGGCTTAGAGAGAGAAAGAGAGAGACTCAATTCCATATGCTCTTCCCAAAATCCAAATTGCATTTCCAATACAGAGAAGTACAACAGAAGAATTGCAACAGATACTTACTTCATAAAGTACTCAGACCAATATTCAGTCCAAAATGCTCTCTCTCTCTCTCTCTCTCTAGGGGAAATGCAATAAAAGACACCACCTTTTCCTATTTACAGAAAAGACCCAGCCACCCCATTTCATCACATTTACTCTCTCCACTTTCCTTCTCATCACCCATCAACAAACAAGAAAGAGAAAAATCAATAAACAAAAATCCCAAATCAAAATCATATATTAACATCAAAATCCATAATCCCCAACCCCCCTTTTCTCCTTTCCACTAAAAATCAACAGAAGAACAAAACCACAAAACTAAAGAATAATCAATACAATCTCAAACTCCCCTTCTTTCTCTCTCTCTAACACTGAGTTGAAAGCAGAGGCTCTGAGTCTGCATCTTCTTTACACAAGCAACTTTCATGGCCACCTTTCTTCTGCAACTCTGGCTGCTGCTCTGCTCCTCCTGTCAAAACCCTAGCTTTTTCAGCCTCCATTTCCCAGTCAGTGTTCCACAAAGCACACATCATCAACCCTGCACAACAAGCCTGTGCACAGAGCAACCCCAACCACAACCCCTTCAACCCCAGCCCAAAATAAAACCCTAACCCTAATGCCACAGGCATCCCCACAAAATAGAAGGACCCCAGATTTATGTTGGCGCCGAGCACCGGTCTCGCGCTTCCTCTCAAGACGCCGCACCCGGTCGTTTGTGGGCAATTGCCCAATTCACAGAGCCCTACTATGGGCAACGCCATTGATGTCAAGCTTATGATCTCTTGGTCTGCGGTGAACAATGTTGCCCATTTGAACCTCACCAGAAAGGCGAAAGCCATGGCTAAGAGACCGAGAAATAGGGAGAGATAGAGGGACACGATCATCGCGGCTCGGGCTTTCGCTGGGCGATTGGCTCCGAGCTCGTTGCCGACTCGAATCGATACGCCGAGGCTTAAACCGGAGGGGAAGATGTAAACCAGAGAAGTAATTTGGATGAGGATCCCCATGGATGCTAAATTGGCTTTGGGGTTATGGAGGAGGCCGCAGAGGAGTATCATCAGCTCGTACCACCACCACTCCAAGCAGACCGATGCGCATGTAGGTAATGCCAGTGAGAGCAGCGGCCGCCAGCAGCGCAGAGCGGCCCGGGCGGATGGTGGTGGGGCCCATGCCGGTGACTTAAGGGCTTCTGGGAGCAGAGCAAAGACGAGGACGAAGTCGGCAAGCGCCGCGGCTAGTGCCACTCCACGCAGGCCGAGCCGTGGCAAGAGTACCTGCGCGATTGCAGGGTGTGCCGCCGCAGCCAGCAGCGCCGCCCTAGCGAGGGGCGCCGTCCTCCCCTGAGCGCGCAGGAACACGCGTAGCGGATGCAATAGCGAATGAGCGACGATCGTGGGGATCAGAAACACGAGAAATTGATGAGCAGCGTCCGCCAATTCGACATCTTTGCACGCGAATAGCAGAAGCGGGCGAGAATTCAGCCACAAAATGGAGATGGGGATGGAGGTGGTGAGGAGGAGGAGAATGGAGCGGTGGAGAGTGAGAGAGAGGAGGGGCAGTTGGAGGGCGCCAAAGGCTTGGGAGGCGAGGGGCTCGGTGCCGAGGGCGAGGCCGGAGAGGAGAGAGAAGGCAGAGATGTTCGCGAAGGCGAGAGAGAGAGAGCCCGCGGCCAAGGGGAGGTGGCCGAGGCGGCCCAAGAAGAGCATGGAGATGATAGAGCGTGAGTAGAGTAAGAGGCCTGTCAAGAGCATGGGCCCTGAAATGCGAGACAGGGACTTGAGCTCCGATGCAACCTGAACAACAACAATCAAATAACCATCTCTCTACATTCACCTGTCTCTCTCTCTTCCATATGAAAAACAGACTCGTGAACAACTGCATTTGTTGGAAAAGAATGAAAATTAACACAATGTTTCTCTGTTTCTCTTTCACTCTCTCTCTATAACTTTTTGGAAATGAACCACTCTCTCTCTCTTCACCCCCGCCCATTGGAGAACGAACACACACACACCACTTTGTTTCACTAGCGTAAAAACGTAATCTTTTGGATAAAAGAACTCTCACTCTCTCTCTCTACATTCAACACAGATATTCTCTCTCTAGATTCATTTCTCTCTCTTAAACGTGGAAAAACAAACGCTCAAATATTTGCTGGAAAACATGTAAATGCCCAAAATGTTCACTTCTAACCTTTGTTTCTTCACCAAAGCATTTGTACATGTAAATCTCTCTTTCTCTCTCTTTCTTCACAAACAATTTTTTTCTCTCTCATCAACTGTCACCTCTCTCTAATTGGACCTTTTCGATAAGGAAAAAAGAAACTAACTGGCTATCGCTGAGCCTTTTCGAAAAAGAACATACACTCTCTCTTACACGCATCAAACTATACCCTATATATATATATATATACGACCAAACCTACTTTCGACGTCCTCTCTCTCTACTAAACACAACTCTCTCT